ATGCTCTTTTGAGATGGTATCAGTTCATTGATGGCTAAAACTGCTGATCCATGAGATCCTGGCTTCCATTCTGCTGCTGACATCTGGGTTGTGTCATCTTGTATTTCCTATCTTTGTTTAAAATGTGATTGCCCATAGGGAGGCACAGGCTGAATTTCTCAATCATGTTTTTTGTTTGTTTTGTTTTCGTTATATCAGCTACAAGCTTTTCTGGGCTCCCCAGTACAAGAGGGATGTGGAGCTACTGGAGAGAGTCCAGCACAGGGCTGTGAGGATGATCAGGGGCCTGGAGCCTCTGCCCTGTGAGGAGAGGCTGAGGGAGCTGGGCCTGTTCAGCCTGGAGAAGAGAAGGCTGAGAGGGGATCTGATCAGTGTATATAAGTACCTCAAGGGAGGCAGTGAGGAGGATGGTGCTGGCCTCTTTTCAGTGGTGGCCACTGACAGAACTAGAGGTAATGGCCACAAACTGAAGCACCAAAAGTTCCACAGGAACTTAAAGAAAAACTTCTTGACAGTGAGGATGACAGAGCCAAGAGAGGTTGTGGAGTCTCCTTCTCTGGAGATCTTCAAAACCCGCTTGGACGCAGTCCTGTGCCACGTGCTCTAGGTGACCCTGCGTGTGCAGGGGGGTTGGACTAGATGACCTCTACAGGTCCCTTCCACCCTTAAAGGATTCTATGAATATTTTTTTCCCTGCTTGTAAGAAATATCCATGGAAAGATACAGTGAGGTACGAATCAGTTTTTAAAAGATACTACTCTGGTCTGTCGACAAATGGATTGCCTTTTTTTTTTTCTCCTCTTTTTAAAGGATGCAATACAGAAATTACTTTCAGATTTATCTGAAATCAGCAGGTAGTCAAATATGGTTATCTGTGAATAGAAAGGATTAGATTTTGCATAATAATGACTTTTTGAAAATGAATAACTAGGGCATGCGTGTCTAAATTTTCCAATTAACTCTGCCATGTTTAGCTCCTGACTGCAAAAAAAGACTGCAATTTGAAGAGGAAAAGAATGTGAAGACTTAAGCATTGAGTCTTGATAGAGCACATGGCTGGAATTAACTAGTTATCCTTCCCAACTTGGAAATACCTTTTCTGAAAAATTATTCTAGAAGGCGAGCTTAATAAACCTTATGGTTCCAGCATTGAAAACAACATGACGGAATCCTCATTCCAGCTCTCACAGCTGTTGCCTTACATTGCCAAAAATATTACGCTATCCTCTTCTAGCTTTAATTCCTCCTCCCAAGAAAATTGGGAGTTTCTTGTTTATTATGCATTTATGGAATAGGCACCAAGGTACAGATTGCTTTTTTAATTGAAAAAGGATGAGCTTTGGCTTACATTTTTAGCTGAGGACTAGCAGTGCGGGAGGAAGAATGAAGGAACACTTTTGAGATTGGATGGTTTAAGCTCAAATGAAGAACATCAGTAGTTGATAAGGAATTAATTTCGCATATTTGACAAATGTTGCAGGTATTTTACATACATGTAAGTTGTTTCAGAGGCATGGAACTACTGGCTGTCAGCGGAAGATGCCAGACTTAGAATCTTGCTGCATTTGTTGAACTGCAAGTGATCACAGTGGTATACTGATCAAGTGCAGAGACCTGTCTGGTTGAGGAATTCTTGTCACTTCTTACGTTCTTGTTCTTTTTCAAAATCAGAGATCTCTCAAAGTGTCAAGTTCGGAGAACTGGTATAAATGAGCAAGAGCTCTGGGTGCAAAAAATGGATTTTTTTTTTTTTTTTTAAAGTTCCAATCCTGAATGCCAATATAAAATGATGCTTGCTTACAGTAGGTATCCTAGTGTCCTTTCCAGATGTGGAATGTGTAACTAGTTACACCCTTTTAGGTCTTTTGGCACCCAATGGGTGGGTCAAATTCAAAGATATGTGAGACAGAAATTTCTTACAGACTTTGAGTGCTCTGGATTGCACAGTGTGAGGAGGTGCTGACTCTCTCAAAGTAAATGTTCTTTTTTCTAGAGTTGATAAGCATTTTGGAGTTACTTCTGTACTCAGGTTGCAGAAAAATGTATGTAAAATGCCTATCATAGCTTTTATTACCTTGGAAGCATCATTTTTGGAATTCTGAGGAAAGTGTTTGGAATGAAAAATCCTGAAAGGGATATGCATTTTCACTCAGAGTTTAACAGTTAGATTAATAGGTTGGAAGAATGGAATAATTAATCACACTTGGATTTTATTTTATATAGATACTTTTAAGTATTTGTTAAAATTGCCTTTCTGACTTTGAGGGAAGCGAGGCGGGAGGGGGAGTTCTTAATTTAGAGTTTCACTGTGCACTCCAAAGACTTTTTCCAGTCTTGCGGGAAATACCCAATTTGAGGTTTTAAAACACTTAGTAAAATCACATTTGCAATCCTTTTTCCATATTTTTCTTCGTCCTAGAGATCTTCTATAGGAGCTTGAATGCAATTTTGTTTTTGTGGGGGGAGAGTGTTACAATCGAAAGTGTAGTAAGTGATAGCCACAACCAGCCCTACAGCTTTGTAGGGAGACCTACATACTGTTTTTGCCCAGGCTACTTAAAGCTCTTAAAGCTTGTGTTTGTGTGTTTTTTTTGCCTTTTTTTTTTTCTTCCTGTTTAGGTGCCTACCCTGAAACATTAAGTAACAAACAAGCTATCTTATCAGTGATGGAGAAAAGTATTCAGGGTGTGAACACTTGTAAAATACTTGCATTCAAAACAGTCCAGTTTGCTGCAAACATGACTACATTTTATCATTAAGTGTTGTGACAGACCCTGCAGGATGTCCGGTTTCCAAAGCAGAATGTTGTTAAAGGAAAAGTCTGTGTAAATCTGAGGTTCTTTCCCTTATCTCGTTGGTCCTCTTGTCTGGAGGGATAGAAGTATTTTAGGTCTAGTCTATCTCCATGTGATTTGGACCATAATTTCATCCTAATTTCAAGGTAGGGCTTTAGAGTTGTAGACTTATAGATGACTTAGTATGATTTGAGACAAATGCAGAAGTGAAAAGATAGCATCTTTTAAACTCTTATAGTCAGATTTGGGATTTTTCTTAGAACATTTTTGCCTTTAATCTCCAAAGTAAAATGTGACAGAGAAGGCAGATCCTTATGTTTTTTTAGACCTTATGTTTATTTTCTTGTGCTTCTTGTTTCTGTTTATATTTTTTTCATTTTATAAGACAGTGATATGGTTTTTATTTTTTTTTCCTCTAACTGTCATGAAATACTATGACTTTTCTTGCGCTAAAGTAAGCATAGCACTGCATAGTCTACAAAGGATTGCTTTTTCTTATGCAAGATATGAGTTGCTTTGAAGTGTGTCTTACATTAACCCTTCTTTTCTGTTAGCAAAGAGTGAATAAACTTTCAGTTAACTTTATATCCTTCCTATGAAGTTCTAATTTGCATTTAGGCACGCTGCAGAGGGATATCTGGTTCTTTGTGAAGCAAGCCTGGTATCCTGTCCAATTTTGAAAAAAATAAGAGCAGAATGTTGTAATAAAATAGGGAAGTATTTTTCTGGGCTTTGTCTTCACTTCATGTGATATTCATTGCCTAATTATTCCTCCCCAATTTTGTCCTTTTCATCTTAGCTCACTAAAACTGGCAATTGGTTGTTTGACAAGTAAGTTGTTCACACTAAAACCAGAACATGTCAGAAGCTGCATCTGACACCAGACAATGGCTTGAAAACATCATCACTTGCTACTGAATCCACCAGCTTTAACAACTGACAAACAAGCTCCGCTTTCCCCAGGCGAGCGTGGTCCCAGCTTCCCGGGCAGCTCTAGGCCTGCCAGGCTGCAAGAGGCTCTGTGAAACCCCCCTGGCCTTCTGCTACTTTCCTGTTGAACGCTTTTGGGAGCACATGCTGTCAGTTTCCAAATCAGACGAGCCCTGAAGAGATCCAGCTTCAAGTCACAAAGGAGGAAGAAACCTTTCTGCATCCTATCTCATGATTGACTAAAACAGTCTCAGTCAAGTTGCTTCTGAGATTCCTCAAAGCAACTTGTGCATGACTGTGTGGCTCCAATAGTAGGGAAGGGCTTACCAAATCTGAAGCTAAGGATGTATTTTCTCAAATTATTACACTTAATTCTTTTATTGTTGTGCAATTATTACATGGACTGGGAGTTCTAATTTTGTTTTCCAGTTCTCAGCTGGCTTTGTTGACCTTCTAGCAGAAATGAAGATTCTTAGTTCTGAAAACATGATTCTGTTAAATATGTACTTAGATTGGCTTGTTTTTTTCTTACTGACCTTTCAAGCCACAGCATATCTCTGGCTTATAGCCAAAAAAAAAAAGGCAAAACTGTATGTTGACTTCAGCTGTAAATAGTCTTAACCTTAACTTTATTATGAGGATTTGAAAACCTTTCTAGGGTTTGAAGACATACAAGCTATGTACTTTAATCTGCTTTTGCATCTGATGAATTCAGCACCTAGCCATAAGAACAGTTATTGCTTAAAAAAAGGTGTCAGTGGGAGGACCTTAGGTGGTGCTTAGTCTGTATTTTCTTTGGACTGTTGGCCCAAAGAACTCTTCAAAGGGGAGGAATGGAATACTTTAAGCTTCTGCTGGTAACTTAAATTCATTTAAAAACAAATTTCTTGCTGAATTACTGGGTAGACTAATTTTCTTTTTAATTTTTTTTTTCCAAAATGGAGAGACTTTCTATTTTAAATTTGGTTATTTTCTGGTGAAATGAACAATGGCTAGAAAATTCCAGAAGTGATCAGGAAGGCATTAGGGAGGAAACACTTTTGCAGATTGACTGTTCCTTCATTTCACTTGGCACCTCAGTTGTATCAGCTGAATAATTTTTAGTGCCTTCTAGTTCTAAATGACTGTTTTGCTATGTGTAATGATATCTGTATGCTTTCATTCCAAACTGTCTTCTAATTGTAGCTCAAAATACTTGTCAAAACTGCCTTTTATCAATATAAACATTTTAATGATTAATTTTCAGAATTATTTATTTCAGTTGCAGGAGGAAGATTTTTCTTTAACTTGGATTGCATAAAAAGGGATTGTTGCTCAACATGGCTGAATTATCACCTGAGGAAATTCAGCTGAGGGCCAACCAAGTCACTGATGAGGTAAATATTTTAGGAAGCCACCTGGGAACAGTAATGATCTGTTCAAGAATATAATCTACATTATTATATATACTCTATATCTGTCTGGAATGTTGACTCGGCAAGAACATAGCTAAATGTTCCAAACATCTCTTTACCCAGTAGATGCTGGAGTTAAGGTTTTTCCTGAAAGTGAGGGTGAAATTTTAGCTTGAATTTTATAGCCACCTCCTTAACTGAGTGCTGATTTCCCAGTCATGATTACTGAGACAAAGCAGCCTGAGTGCCTACATTCTTCTAAATCATGTTGATATTCAGTGCCTGATTTGTGGGTGGTTTTTTTTTTTTTTCCTTCTTATAATGACTTTTCCATGGAATAAGCAAAGACTGGTAAATATTGAAAAACAAGAGTGTACTAATTAAAGTTGTGTGTTCTGTCATTATGCAGTCACCTGTGTATTATGGGTTGGCTAATGAACCTTTGGGTGCTAGTATCACTGAAGTGAACTGGTAAAGAAGACTAGCAAACGCTGACATGGGCTGTCGATACTGTTTTTTTTTTTTAATTATTTTTATTGTTTTTTCCTTAGTCCTTGGAAAGCACCAGAAGGATTCTTGGCTTGGCCATTGAGGTAAGGAAATGTTTTTGAATTCTTTGGGGATTAATTCCATTGCATTATAAGCAGCTGCATGTTAACTCCATGCTAGCTATCACATGGTGACCTTCAGGGCTTTTTGTGTGGTGTGTGTGTCTTTTTTTTTTTTTTTTTCCTGAACTGATTGTTTTTTGAGGAAGACAATTATTTGAAGCTGTTACTTTAGATGATGGAGTTGGAATACTTGCATCTATTTTTTCCATGGTTTTTAAAATCAGATTAGAGTAACTAATACCCTATTTCCTTTAAGTGAAAATCTTTTTTCTAACTGCTTGTATCACTTGATTCTCATAGCAGCACCAATTTGTCTTTTGGCTCACTCTGCCTGTGAACAGTGCGAAATGTGCTGCTTTGAGGGAGGGTGAGGTTTAGAAGTCTGCTCTTGGTTCTAAACAAAAGTAGTTCCACATGTACCTTTTTGCCATCTATTCATCAGTTGCAGCCTTCAAATAGTTAAGTATGATGATAAAACTTCAAGCTCCCGCATATTTGGCTTTAAACAAATTAATTCTGTATTTCAGGTTTACTCTGACTTATGAATTTTTTCTTCTTTGTTACACATGATATTTTTATGCTCCTAAAAATAGTTGAAAGTTTACTTCTGATACCATAATTTCTGAAAATACAGCAAGCTAGTAGCTAGCTGTAATTGAGGTAGCAAAAATTAACTGGCTCAGCAAAACCTTCCAATGCTTGAGTGTGCCATAGACAAAAGGGAATCCAGAGAATAAGTATTAATTTCTCTCAACGCTAATGCTAAGTCTTTTAGCATCAAAATCTTGAAAGATTTTTCTGTAAGAACAGTAAAAATTACTCTGAAAAACAAGATCTTTTATTAGGTCAACCCCACTTTAGAACCTCTGTTCACTGTATACTGTAGTTAATCTTGTGGAATTAAAGATGCTTCTCTTATCAGTGAGGTATTTGAATTGGTATAACCTGGTGAATCTCTCAGATGTGAATGTTAAGAACATTTGATACATACGATGAGCCAAACTCATTTTAACCATGTAGCACTCTGGTGATTCTTAAAATAAAGTAATTCTAAGCATAGGAACTTCTATGCTGAAAATTTATAGCAAAACATGGGTGTAACTTTTATGCCAGTTCCAAGACTGGGCTAGTGAATTACTATACTTTGATATAATACCAACTGCAAGTTTTTGCCTGCTTCTAAAACTAGTGATGGTCTAATTTTCTGATCCTTTCTGCTAAGTTCCCAGGAATGGGATTCGTAGGCTGTATTCTGTGTGGTGGTTTGTTGTTGGTGGGTGTTCCCCCCCAGCTCAGACTTCCAGGACCTTCTCATTGCAGTGGTAGGGATTAGTTGAATTAAATGTCACTTTTTCCAAATGAGGCAGTTAAAATTTACCTTTTTTAAAAAATGTTTAGCTGTGGCAGATCTCAGTTTGAGTATTACAGTAAATTTTGTTACAATAATTTTATAAGGCACGCTATCCCTAATAGTGTTATACATTATTAGCCTAGCACAAGACTTAAGCTGATGTTTAGTGTTCACTTAATACAGAAGCTATTAGTGGCACAATACTTTTATTGCAAAACTGGATGGCTTATCAAATCTACTCTAGAGACTTGTGTTTTAGCAGTATGATATTGGAAGCTGTTCTTTATATCTGCAAATTTATTTCTACAGTCCCAGGATGTAGGCATCAAGACTATCACCATGCTGGATGAACAGGGAGGTGAGTTCTTTCTTCCCCTTCCCCTTCTAGTGTTAAAAATCAGCATTATGACTATAAGAAAAAAGGTTATTGCTGAGGTGTTGCTGAAACTGAAGTTTATGTAAAAATGGGATGCACTAATTGGATATTCCAATATGTTCAATATATAATAAATTGTATTTATTAGATATTCCCAAATATTCTACTGCTTGTAGGATTTACAAGAGGATTTAAATTTTCTCAAAGAAATTTCTAGTTACAGCACAATCTAGCTTTTGCAGTTCGAGTGAACTCTGGAGGGAGTTTCCTTCCATGATAACATAACTTTATATTTATTCTACAAGTAGCTACTGAAGTGCTGCTCTAAGAATAGGAAAGATATTCTTAATATGACAAAATTTAATCACTTAATCTTTTGTTTTCTACCAAAAATTCTGGAGGACAGAGGAGCAAAGCTGTTATGAAGATGAAGCTCCACCTTTTGAATTCCCTGTTTGAAAGGATTGCTGTGTCTTTCCCCCAGTAACATCCGTGTTTGCTCAGGTTGCTCGTCTCTTTTCTAGAACAACTAAATCGCATAGAAGAAGGCATGGACCAGATAAACAAGGACATGAGAGAAGCTGAGAAGACACTGACGGAGCTCAACAAGTGTTGTGGGCTCTGTGTCTGTCCTTGCAACAGGTTGGTTAAATTGATATGTGAGCATAAAATTCTAGGGTGCTACCAATAACTAATCAACTGGGAGATGGCCTGTAATAACTAAAAAAAGCTGAATCTATCAAAACTGATTGTACCTTTAAATGTAAAACTTTTCTAGATCATACATAAGTATTAAAACTTACTTGCATATGTGTTGTGCCTCTTGCACTGTAAGTATAGGTGCTGTAAATCATCTTGCTTGACTGCACTCTATTCTCTCTAATGTTTGTAGTTAGTAGGACAGTACCAGTGCTTAGAATAGCTGTATAGCCACATATAAATCACTGTCCATTAGATATCTGACTCTGAAAATCATCTCTTGCCAGAAGTATTCTCTATTAACTTATTAAAAGCTTGGTAACGCTGTTCTAGTCAATATTATAATTCAGTGTTATGCAAGAAAACTTGTGTTTTGGAGGGGGGAAAAAAGCAATATGAGTTCTCCAGATAATGAAAATGTTCATGCTTTAGGGAGGAGGAGAGTAGGAGAGCAGCAGGTGAAGGACTTAAAGCTTTAGTTTCATTGGTGACTACATTCTTGTAGACTCACTTCAGTGCTGATCTCGTCAGCAATATGAACACCATATCCAAGTTGTTGAAGACTAATGTCTGTTTTATGATACTTGATTTGTAGTTCTCAACATTTAACCAAAGCAATTATCAGAAATTAGTGTTCTTTAAAAATGCTTTATGCAGCAAATTACAAAGTTGTTTTGTGTGAACCAATTGTGATCAGTGTCGTTTTATGTGAAGAAGAAATAAATTAAAAGTGACCATGCTCTAGGTGACCCTGCGTGTGCAGGGGGGTTGGACTAGATGATCTCTAGAGGTCCCTTCCAACCCTAAGCATTCTATGATTCTATGTAAGTGAATAGCCTTTTTCCTTTTTTCATGGAGAGGAAAGTCTCATGATCTGGCTGAGAGGTATCTGAAATTTTAGTAAAAATACATTGCAGCTAGCTGAGCCTGCTTATTCAATAGGGTATTTTTAAAGAGTTTACTTTAGATATGAAGGTAACTTCTAAAACTGAATCTTTAGAGTTTTATTATCCTTAAATGATTAATAGCTCTGCATTGGGCTTTGAATAGCTGTGCTTAGTTTCATAGTAACTTTACCAGGCTGGTAAACTTAGAGTGTTTTCACCCACTGATATTGAGCAGCTTTTATTGGCACTGAGCAAACTCCGAATTTGTGAGCTCTTGTGATGCACCCCAAGTACACTGCTTGCAGTAAAAGGCTTAATAAGTTGGGTACAAAAACAGGCAATGACATGTAGAGTAGAAGAGCAAGAAAAAAGCTGTGAGCGTTTTTCACATGTATATGATATAGCTTTAGGAAAATATTGTCAAATATGCTGCATAGGTAAATTTTAATCATTGAATAGAACAGATTTTTGTCAATGTATCATTTGCTAATGGGTTGTCTACAAAAGTTTTAATATTTTTTCACAAATCACAAGCTTAAATCAGAATGTAATAAATATTGCTTTTTCTTGGTTCTCCCCCTCCCCAGCTTATTGAGGTTTTGAAAACTTTGTTGTAAAAGCGCAAGGCATAGACACTACTCTAATACCTGTATACTAACAGCGATTTGCCTGTTTGCTGGTCTTTACTGTTCTTTCTTCTCCATTCTCTCCTAACACTGCTGTTTGCTTTCTAAAAATGAAGACTAAGATAAGAAGCTGTGTTCACCTAGCTGGTGAAAGCGGATTTTAGCAGAAGGTCAGTCTTGGTAGTGCAGCATGTACATGTAACCAGCTGACTAAGGGGATGCTTCTCTGGGGTGTGTTGCATGTGCATGATGTCTGCATGCAGGGCTCCTCGTGGCTGTGCTGTGTTGTAACAGTGATGTGACTAGAGCCAGCTCTTACACACTATATTGGCTGTGGGAATCTTGACCACACGCCTGACCCCATGCCGGTTTGTCAGACTGTACAAATTGAAAATCTTACCAACTCCTAAGAAAGCTAAACATTGAGGGAGAGGAACTAATGTTCAATAATTTGAAATACAGCTCTTAAAATCAGATTTTGAGAAGCGTGTTTTTTTTAAAAACCTTGCTTAGCTTGAGCAACAGTTGGTGTTTCTAGTTATCTGCTGCAGATGTGAAAATAGTTTCAGGCCACTTTATTGTTTGATAAATTCCTCACTGTTACTGCTGGTACCTGCAGCTTTCCTCATCCAAGCACATGGAGTGCTCCTGCTGCAGCTTTAGTCTAGTGGATTAAAATATGCTCAGTCTAGTTGCAGCAAACCTAAAAGTTGCCAGAATTGACTAGTTCATGTTTCTGTACAATTTAACCATGTGTAACTGTTCAGTTATGATTCATAAACTCTTGCATGTATTCCAACCTAGATTGTATTTCATTGATTAGACTGCTGGAAAAGTAGTAGCTTCCTATTTGGGTTATGTGTTGAAGGGAATATCTCTTCAATACAGCTTATTTTACACTTTAAAATGTGAAACTGCTTGTATATTTTCCTTCCTCTTATGCTTTTGTAGGTATGTGATTCTTAAAGTTAATTCATTTCAGGCTTTTTGTCTCTTGAATTATATGGTAAAAATATTATGATTGGTTTGTTTCTCACTATAATGGACTTAGTACTGTTTAACTGCAGAGCCAAAGGAGTATTTAGACATGCTTGCTATTTCATACATGTTTTCTAGATTTAGCTTGTTACTTAAAATATATATACACACACATATACACTTGATCTTTTTGACAAGAAAGATTTGGCAATAGAAAATGGTGGATAAAAAAATATCAAACGTAATCTGGTGAAGATACTCAAAACCACTAAAGGTTTGGATTGATGATGTTCTTGCGTAGTGCTATTACTTTCATTTGGGGAAGGTTCTTCATTTCCTTTTTCCTGGGAAGTATCTGAACCTGTCCGTAGACTAGCTTCTGTTGTAAATGCAGCTTTATTTTGACAGTGTAAGCTCTCTGATACTGTCATAAACTGCGTTTTTGCTGAGATACTTCAGGAATATTGCACTTGTGTTAACACTGAGATCAAATTAAACTGCCTGCAGAGTAACTCAGCTCTATCCTGATAGAAAGAGTTATAGAGTCAGATTTTTTTTCTATACAACATGTATTTTCCAATTAGGACACAAGATATGTTTCTGAATCTGATCCTGGATTAAGGCAGAACTTCAATCAAGAAGCCATTTTTTTTCCAGATGTAGCACCTCAGACTTTTGATTTTTATTGAGTAGGGCGAAGAACTTTGAGTCTAGCAGGGCGCATCGATCAGCCTGGGGAGATGGCACCGAGAACTCAGCAGACCACGTGATATCTATGCAACCAAGAAGAGTCAATCAGCAGCCTCAGGCTTCTGGAGGGCCAAGTGGAGGATATATTGCACGGTTTGTTTCCTCATTTATCACTCCCAGTGCAGATAGACTAAGCTACTGCTCATCAGGTTCTTTGCAGATGTATTGTACCTGTTAACTTTAAAATATGCTAAGGCTCGGAGGATCTACTACTTAAAAAGATTAGATATATCTATACTTTCAGTAGGTGCAGTGTAGAGTTCCTGTGCACTCATATACACACACACACACACACATATATATTTCCCCTGCAGTGGTGGGGTATTTTCAGTGATTATCTTTCTGGATATGATGTCTAGAGCTTTGGTGCTCGTTAACAGGTGACTTCTAAAGTCTAGCACCTTTACTGTTATATAAGTATACTGATAAAATCTCATGCCTTGAGCTTTCTCTTGTAGCTGTTGCTTTCAATATTGCTAAAATGGCCTTAGAGTTTATGCCTTAGTCTCTTTTGGCCTTCTTGGAATACAAGGTTATTACAAGGAAGGGGAAAATTACTTGGCTTGAATATTATGTGTATTGAGTAAATTTGTACTGAGAAAAATCTAATATGGTAAATTTGAGCTGAGGAAAAGCAAATTCTTTGTTTATGAAAACATTTGTTTAATATTTGAATAGGATAACAAATGATGCCAGAGAAGATGAAATGGATGAAAATCTCACTCAAGTAGGAAACATTCTGGGGAATTTGAAAAATATGGCTTTGGATATGGGAAATGAGATTGATGCCCAGAATAAACAAATAGACCGGATAAATGTAAAGGTAAGGTCAAAGTGTTCCTGTTGCATTAAATTTAGAGGTTGTTGCTTAGAAATGGTAATGAACACCTTACTGTCCTAGCTGTTTGCCATTAAGGGCCTTAATTTTTTCCCTAACCCATTTCACTCTGTGTGAAATGGCTAATAGCAGGATTGGCTGTAGCTTCTTGTGAGCTCAGTTCATCTGGGGAGGGCAGAGGCTATTTCTGGGCTTATTTGTGACTCCTGCCTGGATAGGGAATTGTTTTGAAGTTTCTTATACTCTTCTATGAATCTCCATCCTGATATTTGCTCAGCTAGATGCAGTGGCTTGTTTTTGGTGCTGTAGTAACAGAGAAAAATAGAAAACAAAGTGTCGTTCTTAGAGATACCATACTAGTGTGACACTAGGGCCTTGTGGAGGTGAAAACTAGAGATGTGCACTGTGCAAAGTAATTCTTACTTTACGTTGATAGACCGTTTTTGGTTTTGTTTAATATTTTTTATTTGGTCTGTAGTATGGAAGCTGTGTTGTAGAGGTTTCCAAGTTATTTAAACTCTTGAAGAGAAAGAGAATATCTTTGGGGAATGTTTATCCCCTTGTTCTGTCAATGTTCTTCCTGCCTTGCTGAAGCAACAGTTGTGTTTTTGAAGGTTGGCAAAAGGCTACTATGTTTTTTTTCTGATGTTTGTTGTTTTCGTCTGAAACAAACTTCATCTAGACAAAAAATTACTTCCAGCTTATAAAACTCTGGTCTCTGTCTATGACAACACTAATACCCTGCAATTCAGAGGTCCCTGTTAGTTTGAAGTAGTTTTGCATCTAGTTTGCATCTTTTTTTTTTTCTTTCTTTCTTTTTTAGGCGGATTCAAACAAGCAGCGCATTGAGGAAGCCAACACCAGAGCCAAGAAACTCATTGACAATTAAAGCCTGATGTCATTGTTCAGTGACACTGTCTCTCCAGCTGCAAACCACCATATTCATGGATCTGTGAAACTCTCCTATTCTGAAATAAGAGGGGCTGGGAAATATGAAGCAATACCCTTTCTATAGGGGCTCTTTCTCTTTTAATTTTTTTTATTGCTTCATGTAGGCTTGGCCTTCTTTCCAAGAAAGTAGCCAACTTTACTTCCTCTTCATCTGCCTTCACTTCCTTCAAACTGCTCAGGGCTGAAAGTGTCATGGCTTTGAGAATGTTCAGACTTGTTTTATTTTTCCCTCCCCAGACTATTTTCCTGCCTCCAAAATATGGTCCCTTGTTCAAGTGGAATGAATTCAGGTTAACCTGAATTTGGCCATTGAAAGTTGGAGAGGGCACTTTACACAGTTTAAAATACCTCAAGTTGAGTGTCATCACTAAAATAGGGATTGGTGAGTATTGTCTGCCTTGTATCTCTAGCTGGCTAACCATAGTTTTGCAATCCAAACCACATAAGAGTGGCTTGAGACTGAGTTAGTGTACTACAAGATTTAAGAGTTTATGGCCCACTAGTTACTACTTCTGGGTTGAGGGCTTTAAAACACTTTCTAAACACAAACTTTAATGTAAAGGTAACTGGAGGAGTTATACCGGTTTTGTTTTCTTCACTTTTAAGGTGACATTGTTTTAGAGGCCAGATTAAGGGAATTGTGCTGCCTTGTTCTGGCAATGTGTTCTGTACATAATGATCCAAACACCATGCACATACGAGTAGAAATCACTTCCCTAGAAAGTATTTATTTAATGGAGGAAAATTTTACACCCATCTAATCTTTAAATGAATGATGCAATGTAGCTAGTTGAAAAACATGTAGCTTTCTCATCCCATATCGGATTTTACCTTGGTCAATTTTTATTGGAGTTCAGTTATGCCTTTCTCCAGTGCAAAATCAAAGTAGTGCTAATGTAGTGACTGAGACCCTTGTGCAGAGTTTTGTTCTCAGCAGTGAATTTGGGGGGAGTGTCTTAAAGCTACTGAAAACAGAGAGAAGCTTATTACAAGTGAAGTTCTGGTCACAATTCTGGAGGAAGCATTAACTCTTTAGGAAGAACTGTGTGCTAGTTCTTAATAAACTAGTTTGAAATAGATGGCTGACTGGTTTATTGCACATTTAGGGCTGACAATTAGAAATATTTCAAATTAAAATTGACTGCAGCTAAAATATTCTTTTGCAGAATAGAGGAGTCTGACCAGGTGGGATGAGATAAAGCTTTCTTCCTACGAAGAAAAACATTTTTTCATTATTTCCTTTTTTTTTTTTGTTTGACAAGTAAATACCAAGTGGCCATATTGATGGGTGGCGTTAGCTGTGTATTATGTCTGTAATGAAAGTGAAAATGATACTTCAGTCTAACCTGCAGTAGTGAATGTTGGATGGAGAAAATAAATCTCCAAACCAAACTTAAAAGGAAAAAATAACCAAGCATTGTATAGCCATTAGCAGAAAATCCTGGGGCTAGTGAGATGAGACTAATTTGCTTAAATTTCAGATTTTTTTAAAAAAGTTAGACACTTTCTTCTCAGTGGTAATACAATCAGTGTGACTAGTATACTGTCAGCTCACTCCCAGGACAACTTGAGATTGATTAAAACAAAATCCTGACCAAAGAATGGAACTGCTGCATGTAGGGCAGTGGAAGACTGTCTAATGTGAATAAGGTAATGATAGCAATTTTAGATGACTGGATACTTGTGAAGCACTTCCTGGTAACTGTTGGAAAATACTAAGTTTTAAAAGTGAGTTCTCTACCCTCATTAGTAATGAAGATTATATGCTTAAAAACCCAGATAGCAAAAAGCACTTGTAACAACATTGCATAATAAACTTAAAAATTTATCTTAGGGTAAAGCATAAGGGATTGGAATGCAATTTTTTTCCTTAAGAACTTCAGGTTAATTGAAAGAATGCTGCTGATCGTGAAAGCAGAGTCTATGTATTTAATTGTGATTGTCTCCTGTTTCAGGAGACAAAAGCAGTTGTCTTGTTCTGCTTAGATCAACGCAGACCTGTTCTTTAGCTGCTTGAAACACCTTCAACTGTTTTTCTCCCTTGCTACTACAAGTCTGTTTTATTGACTTCCCTGAGCAATAATCACATTAGTGCATTGGTTAAGAGAATGCCATGACTGGTATACAGAATCTTAATATTGCAGTGAACAACTCACAAATAAGATACTCTTAGCTCAAGTATTAGCTGAGTATAAATACTGTTCTCTGATGTAGCAAGAGCTGAGCCCTTGAGGGAGTTGGTGCCTTAAAGTTCAGAACAGTGGGCTGCTTGTATTGTCTTACTGTTGTCTGTAGAATAGATGCTGAAATTCCACATCTGGACAGAATCAACACTTGTGCATCTTTATTTCTGAATGCTATTAAGAATGAAGGTTTACAGTTTCTGCTTTTGATTGTGTTTATATATTGTGCACAGCAAAATACAGACTTTTATAATTGAATCTGTTTTAGAACTGTTTTCTCATAGTTAAAATGGTCTTTGCTCAGTTTCCTGTCCTTGAAAAACTTGGCAGAACTAAGTGCTACTGTTCAACTAGGAAGCTCCTCTTCTATTTTTGTCTTTCACAGAAATCCTGGTAACAAATGAAGGGATGGGCTGGGAGGAGTCTTCTGATCTTGCAGTATCTTGCATAGTATTTTGCATTGTTTGCCAAAAATGTTGGAAGAGTTGCAACTCCGAGGTAGCGGAGGAGCCTAGCAATGAGTAGCTGAAAAGTTTCTCAATGTACTAGTGACCACATAAGGCTGACTTAGGATCTTAAATGCTTCCAGAAGCAGAGGTGCTTCCCCCTGCTGCTTTAATATCAGTCTTAACTGAATCATTTTCCAACTGTTCTGTTGCTGATTTTTCCCTTAAATTATTCTGCCTTTTTTTGTCATTTATGCTGAATAGGTGAAGGATTTCTGAAAAATGTCACAAATTGAAGGGAGGAGGGGAACATACCTGAGCACACTGATTTATAATAAAACCATAACCTAGTGCTTGAGAAGGCATACATATTGACTATAGAGCCTTCAGTAGGTGAGTTGCTCCCTTCTGCAAATATAAAATATGCTAAAATAAGAGGCTTTGTCCTGGGAATGTTGTCTCATGAATGACAAATCTGTGAAAAGTACTTCAGACCACTTGGGTATCAAGTGGGATGAGCTGAACTTTTATCAAAGGCCTTGGGCTTTAACCTAGTCCCTGACAGCCTTCTCCAGGTCATAACCTAGCAGAAAGCTGAGCCTCCTCAGCCGCTGTGCAGGGATAGTGTCATTCAGGTGTGTTTTGAAAATACTTCCCTAGTTGTCTTGCAAAACAAAGTAGCTATGAAAGAGGCTATTCTGCTGTCAGCTCTTTAGGGAAAACTAGTTCTCCCCTCCTCCCCATGGTATATACCCAGAACAGAGATTCTTAAGTAGTTTCTTATTTAATGTTGGATCACATCTGTCCTTTGTGTAAGGAGCTACTTCATACCTTTTTACTTATTTCTTACATAGCAACACTGCTTGTGAACAGGGACAGGAAACTGGATAATCCTTTTAAGCACCTTATGAACACTAACTTAAACTAAGATCACCTCATTTTTTTTAATTGCAGATCCAGAAATCAAGTAGTTGATTGTCTAAATGCCTTTCCTGCCTTGTGCAGGAAAGCAGAGGTATAGAACAAAAAAGTAAAACTACCTCTAAACTGCAGTCACCAATGCATCCATGCTTACCTTGCCAAGAAAGGCATTTAAGGCACTTTCCACTTTGCGCTTTTCCAAACATGTGGTATATAACTGAATTACTGCTCCTGGGCTCATATAAGCCTACTTTGCGTTCTCCCAAAAAGAAAAAAAGAAAAAAAAAAAAAAAAACCACAACAAAAACTGCTATGACCAACTGATGGAGCGAAGTCCCTAAAGCCAGGGCTTCAACAATTAGCTTGTTACTAAAGTGGTTAACAGCTGCACTTGTGCCAAGTTTTAAGCTCTTTTTCAAAATGCTTTACTAAAACACATTTTCCTTTTCAGCACTTGTTGCATGACTGTATACACTTTAGCCTGGTTGCTTTGGGTGAGTAAGGCAGAAGCAATGACTAAGACTTTAAGCATAGCTCTGTGCACAGACTCGCTGCAAGGATATCCTCATCAAAATACATTTTTAGGGAATGCAGTGAAGGTAAAATGTAATTTTTATTAGATACAGCTCAGGCAGAAGGGGACTGTAGTGCAATTCTTGCTCAAGGGGAAGAAAGTCTGAAGTACAGTATAAATAAAGACAGATGCTCAAAACATGATTTGTTTACTAGAAGCAATAAAACAGCTATAACTATTTGTGCTTCATAAAAGCTTACACAGGTTAAGAACTATAACATCTTTGAAAGCTCTTTGCTGTAGCATGCTGACAGTAAGACATATGACAACATTTTGGCTCTGCTTTGGTAGCAGAACTTCAGTGCACTAACATGGAAAAGTATTTCCAGGAGAAGTAATCCTCTTAAAGCACTAAGCTTCCTCCCAGAGAGAAGCTGTGGCAGCTTCAAAACACTTGTTCCCTTTCTTGTCAAAGGAAGGGCTCAGACAAAGGAGAACAAGCAGTGTGCTAAAAGCTCTAAGGGCGAGGAATCTAAACCAGCCCCGGGCACGTTCATCAGTTCACTATCCATGTTTTCTACTTCAGGTTTATTTGATGTTGCCTTAGAGCCTGCTGAGCTATCAGACTACTCGAGAGAATAGTGTGATCAGTCTCCTTCATTGGTCTTGGTTTAAGTCACAGAAGCAGGTGCTTCACTCAAACTCTTCTTTCCAAGGCCACACAGGGTCAGAATAATGATCACGCAAACTTCTTCTTTGTAGCTGTAAACCGTTCCATGTACTATATTAAAAAAAATAATAATAATAATTTTAAGATGCAGAAGTTAATGAAAAGACTTATAATTGCAAACAGCTAACCTTCTCACAGAGTCCAAAGCACTCTGCAGCTAAAGGATTATTATTTGGTGGACAAAATCATTAAAGTGTTATTTTAAAAAAGACATGTCTTGCAGCAATTTGCTGCAATTCAGATTGCTATTCCTGAAAGCCCTCAGGATGTTCATCTGAAGTGTTAAGGCTGCAAACAGCCAAGATTGCAGTGTGACAGAGCATCTCTTAGTTTCTACTTCCTTTTTATCCTGCTTTTCCACCCTGTCAAAGAGATTTACTCTCCTTGCGCGCGCGCGCGTACACACACACACACCTGTCATCATTACCTACCCTCCTAACACCCTGATGGAAGAACACTGAGCCTGAATCCTATAAGAACATTAATCTTTAAAGAATTCTTGAAGTTCTTTTCAGAAGCAGCACAGCAACTCTATTAATACTCCAAAAAAGCCCTGGGTAAGGCGTTTACAAGAAGCTTCTCTGCAAAAAGTAAAACACACAAACCTTGTCATAACCCTCAAGTTCTCTGAGTTTCTTGATCTCAAAGAGGTTGCCTTCTACTGCAAGCAGTGAGATCTGGGAATCGCTGAGGATACTTTGAGGAAGCATACTGAGTTCTAGACAGTTTTCTTCCAAACGGAGTACTTTGAGGCGTGGACAGTGGGAGATCTGCACTGAGATCTGGGATATCTGATACAAAGGAAAAGAACAAAAGTGAAATTGGATTAGTGATCTGTGATTACTTGTAGTAGGCTGCGTTTGAGACTAATGTGGAAAATTATTCTGTGAATATTAGCTATATTAGCAGTAACTTCTTAATGACCATAATGTTTAAGCAACAGTGAAAAAAGTAGTTTTTGTTCTTCCATGATGATTGGCAACCCACACATCTGTTTAACTGATAAATCCCAAATTTAGCTATGCAAAAGATAACCTAAAACATTTGTTGAGTAGGGACCTGACAGTCAAATCATGCAGCTGAAGATACCACAGTATACAAATTTAGTAGTGATTAGCCCATTTCTGTTGCATTCGGGAGACTTTTCTTCTATCTATAAAGTTTTGGCGGTCTCAGCGTTTGTTCTGGGACAAGCTAACTCCCAAGACAAACAATCACATCCTGAATCCACATGCCTAGAGCATCTTAGTTACCAGACCTGGTTCTGATTCAAATTGAGTTCAATTGCCTGCAATTCTCCCACTGTGTCAGGCACATTTTGGATCTGGTTTTTGGAAAGATCTACCACATCCAAGTGGCGAAGACCACACAGTTGTGTAGGCACAGTCCGAAGTTGGTTTCCAGAAAGGCTCAGAGTTTTGAGAGCTGAAAGTTGTCCAAATGCAGCTGGTAGTTGCCTCAAGTGATTGCCATTCAAGTGCAACGATTCCAGTTTTTTCAGTTTACAGAGCTCTTCAGGTAAAGCAGCTAAAAACAAGTCACAGAACAAAAGAAATTACCTAAACAAAGAACAGCAAACATTTGCATCTATTTAAGTCAAATAAGCTTCTGCACAGAAAACACTGTGCTATATTATAGTAATTTCTCACAGGAACTCTCTTAAATTCTTCATTGAAGACAAGAGTTCCTGCACAGCAAACAAACCCACTGACAACAGATACTTTTTAACCACCTTTCATAAATATACTAGATCTGTGGAGCAGGCCTTCAAACTACAGGCTGAAACTATTGCTCTGCTCTGAGGGGATTTTAGGCTATCATTTACACTCTTCACTAACCACTTGGCTGGTGTATCCTGGAGCATGTCCTGTTCATAGCTTCATAGATCTGCTGCAACCCTTCAAAGTTACAACTCAACTTTCTCAAAAGTAAGTTCTCAGATAAGTCATACTGTATCATACTAGCAGATGAGCAAACCTCATCAGGTAAGCTCTGCTAGGTTTCACTCAGCCTTAATTCTTAGAGCTCTCCTAAATTGTGCTGCAGAAACAGAGAGGTTTTTAAATTATGTTAAAAAGGAAAGAAAAAGCAGATGGTGCACAATTGCACACACAAAAATGCAGTCAATTTCTTCAGCTCAACCTGATTTCCTATACAGAGGCAAGAATTTTATTAGTCATCCAAAAGACAGTATTTCTTATAGCTCAGGGTTTCCTAAATTTCATTGAAGTTCCACAGGCCGTGCCTAACAGATACAGTAACAACCACTGAATGGCCAGCAATATTTTCTACAGATCATCTTCATTACCTGTTCTTTGTACAAGGACTAAACAATCTGAAGCTGTTAAACTTGCAGAGCAGACAAGTCACAGCGCAGAAGCTACATGGTTTTAACTACTTACATGTAATTGTAAAACTGATAATACAACCAAGTTGGAAACTAGTGCAGAAGAATTCACGATTTGTTTGTTTTTCCTGTACATGAATTCCAAAGATTTCAGTTTAGGTGACTAAACTTCCCATTTACATCCTGTGAGAGTTAAACCATTAAATTTATTTTCTGATCAAATAAGTTAAGCTTATTATTTTAAAAATCTCTGGAGATATAAATTAGCAGGCATACTCAGTCTGTTGTTGTTTAGCGCAAGGCTCTTCAGAAAGGAAAACTTTCCTATCAGCGGTGGTAGGATCTCCAACTTATTGTTCGACAAGTCTATTGTCCTTAGGTTGCTCGTCAGCTTCTGCAGATCTTCAGGAAACTAGCGGAGGGGAGGGGTGAGGGGAAAAAAAAAAAAGATACTGCATTAAAACAGTTGCCATATCTTCAAATGTTCAAGGTACACACATCTGAAACTAACTCATAGATGAATCATTACACTGGCCTACACAACATTTAATCATCAGTATGTAGTTAAGTCAACAAATTCACTAATACATGTTTTTAAAAAAACACTTTTCATCAATGTTGAAATAGGGGGAAAAGAATTTGGGGGGAGTTGAAATTGAGAATGTCTTCCAATTTTTCCTTTTAAAAGAACTATGTAAACCATTTGTCTTATTTTTGCCTACTAATCCTCCAGATCTTACCACTTTAATGTGCATTTGGCATTAGGAAAAAAAAAAGGCAACAATGATCATATGATTATCAGGAAGTCCTAGTCAACAGATCGGTGATTTGGATTCTCTCTTAGGGGGGCAGAGGGAGGAAAAAAAAAAAAAAGAGAGAGAGAGATGGTGGAATAGCAGGAGATACTTTAGAAAAAATCATAGAAAATTACTGTGAGTACTGTGATTGAGTTATTTTGGCTAACCTATGAATTGTTACTAGGCTTACACCTCCAGTACATTCCATGTTTTTGTGTGACTGACTCAAAGTCAAGACAGTTCCCAATATATTTAAACGTGGATACTTGTAGCCATGTGACCAGCTTGTCTAGGCTGTCCACAAGATTATGATTAAACACAGCTTAAGTATTTAAATGCCACAAATTGCAATCCTATAATGCCACAGGTTGTGCAGTACCTTTTTAGGTAACATTCCAGCTTAAAAAAAAAAAAAGTTTTTTTTCTCAGTCAATTTTACAGTTTCCTGAGTTGAGCCATTTTTAAAAAGCACAACAAAACACTGCAACTAATAAACACATTTCCTGAGCATTCATTCATTCTAAAGCAGAAGATCAGAAGTAAACAGATGCCATGACAGACAAATTCTCAATTAGAAGACAGAGCAAGCAAAAATCTGCACTGCAAAAAGGAGAAAATATATTGCTGGAATCAGTGTGAGCCATTTATAAAAATGCATGCATTTAGCGTGCCGCAAGAACGCGTCGGGGACCCCTTCCCAGGAGTGGCAGTGACCCACGGGAAGAGCCACGTCCACGCTCCAGGTCTCTTACCTCCGTAAGGCCCTTTCCTGTTAGCTGGAACACCCCGGTCTTCTGCGCTGTCTCCAGGTGGGCTTTCAGGGCGCTGTTCCCCATCCTGACAGGTCTTCGTCACGGACGCAGAACTGCAGCGACGGCCTCGCACACGCTCAGTTTCTCTGCGCTGGATGACAGCGATCCAAATTCTGTTATAAAAGCACAAACAAAGAGCGCTTTTGCATGTGGCGTCCTCAGCATTCGGAGCAGCTGGACGTGCTGAACGGCATATGCAAAGTTTCAATAATGCAATTCCATCCCCCTAATAACTGAAATCTAAAACTTGCTCACCTTAGTCTAGCCTATTAAGATGTCTTTACTACAGCAATCTAGATTAATTAATTAATGCATCAAGCAGCATCACTAAAACTAAGTGAAAAATTGCACACTCCTGCATTTCTCCTCCTTAACAACTAGCATCAGTGCTAGGCAACCAGGGACACTCTAAATCACATCAATGGAGTCTGCAACGCGGAGCTGCCTTTAATACTGTACTTTTGTTTGCCTTTTTTTTTTTTCTCTTTTTGGAGGGGGGGCGGTGGGGAGGGAGAAGGGATATTTATTTCACGACTGGCTCCTCTGCCCTGACGCTGGAAGCAGAAACCCCGCAGCTCCAGCTGAGCCCGATCCCAGAGCAGGCGAGGCCCGGCCGAGGGCAGCACGAGCGCCAGCTGGGTCAGAGTTGCG